TTGCTCTACTCTTATGCTCATATTACTAGGTTTTTGTCAGATTCCCGAGAGCCCAACTACATTGACTAGGTGCCTGCCTTCCTCCTCTGCAGCTCAATCAAATAATGGCTCTGAGCCTCAGTTCCCACATCTGTAAAATGGAGGTGATGAATTCTACGTGCTTACTTCATTGGAGTATTATGACATTCAAAAGCCAGTGGTGTGATTCATAAGAAAGTGTCACATAAACTACAACAGTTGTGAAAATGGAAGGATTGCTGTTAATTTTACTGTTATTAATCCCTGAGGAGGCACCAAATGGTCCATACTGAAAGAAAATCAACACCTTCAAGTGTTTCTCAAACTGGGGTCTGCTGGACCCTTTGTAAATTCTCAGAGGTCTGCTAGTTCTCTATAAGCATTTTAAAATGTGCTTTTTTGTTTCAATGAAACTCTAATCATCAATATTAATAATCTGGTCATTTGTCCCACGATGTGAGTACTCATTTTTACAATTTCAGGGACACTGAAGCATTTAACTATTAGCTCAGTGTTTCCCAAACTAACTCTGTACGTGCATTAGAGGGGTGTCCACAGGCCCTCTGTTTTAACACTAGTTTGGTCTAAGATTTGCTGCTGATGTGTCACAAAGGTAAGAGCTATAACTCTAGAGGGTCCTGACTGGTAGACGTCTGCTTTGACCACAACGTCAGAGCAGGGAATGAACACAGATTCAGTACTGGGGTTTGGAGGAGGATGGATACCCAGACTGGATAGCCTGGCCCTCTGGTGGGCTCCAGGGCCTAGGTGCTTCTTTTAAAAAATAATGGTATAGTGGCGCCTGGGTGGCTCAGTCAGTTGAGCATCTGATTGCTGATTTTGGCTCAGGTCATGGTCTTGGGGTTGTGAGACTGAGCCCTGCATTGGGCTCTGTACTGGGCACGGAGCCTGCTTGGGATTCTCTCTCTCCCTCTGACTGCCCCTCCTCCAACCACTCATGCTCTCGCTCTCTTTAAAAATAATAAAGAAAAGAATGGTAGAGTTCTCCAGTTTCTGCAAGGTTCAAGTACACTTTATGGACATACCAGTGTTATAGAAATATAAATACATCTATCCTATTGTATATAAAATATGAATATATAAATAAGCATATATATGTGTGTGTATATATATATATACATATACACACACAATATGTGATGTACAGATGGGTAGATCTAGTATGTGTAGTAAGAATCCCCCACCTATGCAGATCAGTGTTTAACTTTCCAAAACATGGTGACATTCAGCAACATCTTTGATCTTCCCGGTAATACTATAAGCATACAGATCAGGCACTGTCATTCCCAGTTGATGGATAAGGAAACTGAGGGCTGGAGAGTTGCCCAAGATCACAGAGCTGGCTAAGGGTAGTGTCTGGACAAAAAGAGGGGGTGGGGGGCAGGGAGGGTTCAGGGTTGTTTTTACTCCCTGTCCATAAAGCTCTCCTCTCTGACCCACAGTCTCCTCCCTCCTCTCTTCCAGCAGCCCCCCAAAGCTGCCTATTTGAATCCTTCCAAAGTGATCTTTTAGAAAAATGCTGTTGGCTACTTCCAAGCTCATGCATTCCATTTCTCTTGTGGAGAAAGAACTGTGAAATAAAAGTGTAGCTCCCTCCTTTTGTTAAACCTTTCAAAAGCTTCCTTGGTTTCTAACTCTATAATTACACCCTAATCACAAACACTCTGAAGGAGGGGGGTCAGTTCCATGCGGCAGCAGGCTAATTATGTGGCGGAATTTCTAAAAATTATCATCTTATAAATTGCGTTATTTCTCTGAAGGGGGAAGAAAAACACACCACATACTCGCCTATGTTTCGAACTGAATTAATTAGTAATTTGAAGCCTAATTATCAACTAATCCATTGGAACATGCAAGTCTTTTGTATTTGGATGGTATATGCAATTTGCCTCCTATTAGCTGGCAGTTGTAAGGATTTGAGAGCTCATTAGGTCAGAAGAAGAAGAATGCAGATCAGAAGGATACAGAAGCCCAAGGGGCTGACTCGGTGATGCTGTGACCCTGGGGTCACTTGACAACAGATGGAGGCTGGCAATTTAATTATCTAGGGTCTTTCGGTGGCTCCGAGGCCATTGATGTGTAATTTCTGTCTTACCCTGGAGAGGTGATTATGCAGGCCCCCACCGTTGTTCTGTGTATTCTCGAGCAGCAGGGTGCTCACACAGTCTGTACAGTGAGGCCTGCTAGAACAGGGCATATGGCATTGGATGCTGCCTACCAACCTTGGTGCTAGGGCTAGGCCTAGCTCTATCCTTGCCTTGCTGTGTGCCCCTGGCCACACCACCTTGCTGGTTTTGTTTCTCTGCAAGCAAAGGAGACTTAGATGGCATTAATTTCCAAAGCCCTTTCCAGCACTAAGGAGCTGCGATCTGAGGGATGTCAAGTCTGCTTCATTACAATGTCAAAAAGTCTATCTTTGCAAATTTTTTTTTTAGGGTGAGGCTCTTGTTCCCTAAAAGTCTCTGGAGAACGACCTGCCATTTAAAAGGCAAATACCTTTGAGAAATATAACATATTTAGCTATTAACATCTGGGTCTAAATTAACCTATTTCAGTGAGTCCTTCTCATTTCTAGTCCTGAGCCTGAAATATTGGGACAGCCAAGGCAAGGAAGTTTTGAAGGGAAAGAAGGTTTAGGCAGGGACCTGTTTAGGAATGGAGATTGGGTCAGAAAGAGTAATAGAATTTAAGGATTAGGCAGCATGTTTTGGTCCCATGTTTTGATCTTGCAATTTTGACCTTTACATATAGCCAGACCCTGTGCCTTTGTTCTACTAATGACCTTTGTTCCAAAAATAAGTAGAAAATAGCAATCTTTGGTTCCATTCATTATTAATGCTACTCGTAAGTAATCAACACCAAATAACATGCCTAAAACTAACATGATATACTTTGTTATAAATAAAAATTTAAAAATCACATCTTGATGGAAACAGAAAATTGCAAAGACAAGCCAGGATAACGAGGAAACTTTGTAGAAAAGGCTACCATTAGGGAAAACCGATAATTGCCCAAATTGTCACATTGGCAAAATGTGTTATTGATTGAAATATTTTTAGTCGATATAAAAATTTATTATTGATTTGTTGGGAGATATATCCACTTTGGAAAGTAATTTTAGAGTTCCTCAAGTTGTTAAACACGGAGTTACCATATAACCCATCAATTCCACTCCTTGGTATATACACAAGAGAAAAGATTGTACCTAAATTTCATAGCAGCTTTATTTGTAATAGTTAAAAAGTGAAAACCACCCAAATGTTTATCAACCAATGAATGGATTAGCAAAATGCAGTATAGCCATATAATAGAATATTATTTGGCAATGAAAAGGAGCAAAGTACCATACATGCTACAATATGGATGAACTTTGAAAACCTGATGCTAAGTGAAAGAAGCCAGTCACAAAGGAGCACATATTATATGATTCCACTTAATGTCCAAATATGCAAATACTTAAAAAGTAGATTGCTAGTTGCCTAGGGCTGGGGGTGGGAGTTTGGAGAGCAATGGGGAGTGAGTGCTGATGGGTATGGGGTTTCTTTTTTGGGATGACGAAAAAATTTTAAAGTTAGATTATGGTGATGGTGTCATAATTCTGTGACTAGACTAAAAAGCAATGAATCGTATACTTTATATGGATGAACAGTATGGTATATGAATATATCACCATGAAGCTCTTTTAAAAATGTAAACAATGGGACTAAAGGCAAAATAAAATTACATTTGGCTTTGGATGAAATTCTGAAAGCATCAAACTCCATGATAAAAAAAGGTAGGTGGTCAAAACATGACCCAGGAAAATAGAATTGCCAGAAATAATGTCCACAAAAGAAAACTCATAATGGCATGTTATTAGGTAAAATCTAATGTGAATAAAAATTATTTGATGACTCAAATCTTCACAACATTGAAAATAATTGTGCCCAATAAAAAGAACTGCAATACATTAAAATGAAAACAAATTTTTTTAAGAAGACAGGCTTAATCTATACCACATAGAAAAGCGAATAAAAACTAAATTGACATAATATTATTAATATTGGAAAACTGCTTCTGGTTAAAGATCTGTCAATCCTAGGATCATTGTGATTCCAATGTTTGTACTTATAAACAGTAAAACTATCACTGGGATCAAAATAGAGGGTCAAAAATAGTGGGGTGGAAATACCTTGTGTCCATTCAAAGATGGGCTGGTTTTGTCCTTATTGTCAAGGGGCAGAGCTGATTCAATCTACAATTGTGATGACCGTCTCTTCTTTTTTTTTAAATTTTATTTTAATTTTTTATTGTTATGTTAATCACCATACATTACATCATTAGTTTTTGATGTAGTGTTCCATGATTCATTGTTTGTGCATAACACCCAGTGCTCCATGCAGAACGTGCCCTCTTTAATACCCGTCACCAGGCTAACCCATCCCCCACCCCCCTCCCCTCTAGAACCCTCAGTTTGTTTTTCAGAGTCCATCGTCTCTCATGGTTCGTCTCCCCCTCTGACTTCCCCCCCTTCATTCTTCCCCTCCTGCTATCTTCTTCTTCTTCTTCTTTTTTAACATATAATGTATTATTTGTTTCAGAGGTACAGGTCTGTGATTTAACAGTCTTAACACAATTCACAGCGCTCACCATAGCACATACCCTCCCCAACATCTATCACCCAGCCACCCCATCCCTCCCACTCCCAACCACTCCAGCAACCCTCTATTTGTTTCCTGAGATTCAGAATTCCTCATATCAGTGAGTGTGATGACCCTCTCTTCTAAGGAAGATGAAAGGTTTACCAACAGGGTGCTGTGGTTTGACAATTGGGGATGTGGAGGGGAAAAGGCAAGCTTAGTATTGCAGCTCTCAATTGCCCCTCCCACCAGGCAGTTCCCATCAGCTGGGGGCTGCAGAAGCAAGGTAGGGCCCATGTGTAAAGACGCATAAGCTGAACACCAGCAGTGCATTGCACTTACCAGATTTGCAAGGATGTAGTGGTAGCCGATGCCATTCTTCTCCAGCTTTATGATCTATAAAACACAACGGGAAGGGTTTCATCAATCAGATTTGCAATTAAAGCTACAACAGCAATAATAACAGCAACTAACACCGAGTGCTTGCAATGTGGCCCGTCCTATCCTAAGTACTCAAATTACAATATTACAGCCATTCAGCAATGGTGGCATTATGGATACCCTCATTTTACAGATGAGGAATTGAGGCATGGAGAGATTAAATAAGCTCCCTAAGGTTACCCACCTATTAAGTGGCAGATGCAGGACTTGAAATCAGTTTTATCTGATACTAGGGGTAGAGGAGTGTTATCCTAACCCCCCAAATTCAGATGAAATGCTCATTTCACTGCTTCTTCCATAAAGCCTTTCCCTGGGTGGAAAGTCTTTCCTGGTGTGAATCTTATGCTGTGTTGAATTCCCTGCCACTGAAATGACAATATCTGCTGCTTGGATGGATGGATGGGTGTGGGTGGATAATCATATAGGTAGGTTCTCGACCTTCAACTCCTTGCATGAACCATATTCAGATCCAGTTCCTTCTTTCCCTGAATATTGTGCCTTCTTCCCTAAACTAGTTGGATACCCAGGAATTAACTGACCATTCAACCTGGAACTTGGAAGGGAATGTCAGCATCAGATGGTCCAACCTTCCACTGTACAGATGGGAAGTTCAGGCCTGGAGAGGAGAAATGATTTGCCTAGATCCTGCGGCAATGCCAAGACAGGAACCTGACTGTTGTTGAGTATTTGTACGTAACACCAAATTATGGTTAATCATTAAGAGCCAGGATCCCCCCAAACCCCTCCATCCTCAATGTGCAGACTTTTATAATCATTGTGGGCAGGAAAAATATTTGTGGAATGAATTATCCAGAGGTTTGCTCAGGTAGCCAGACATACCACCCAAGGAACAGCTAAGAGCACAGGCCTTTGTTTAGCCCTAGCTCAGCCTGCAAGTTAACTTGATCTATTTCTTTATTTTTTAATCATGAAATTGGGGTTAGTACATTCTGCTCAGTGCCTCTCCTCCACTCTTACAAGAAGGCATAGAACATATGAGAAGCACTTGGGCTTCTTGTCTAACTGAATAAATTTTCAAGGTTATTAAAATCCACATTCAGACATCTACTTAATTGGATATATGTGCATAGCGGCTCACATATTTTTTTTTTTTATGTAGGGAATAATTAAATGCAAGCACACTCAACGAATGCTCTGAAACAGTGGTTAGATTGTGAAATTCCAGGCCATGGAGCTCAAATACTATTGGGATGATAGTTTTATTAATAATTCTTCATTACTTTTCCATCTTCTTGTCAAACGGTTTGCTGCCCTTTCAATAATAAGATACCTTTACCAAAAACCTATTCAGCTTCTAATAAACATAAAACAGCAAATAAGAGATCTTTCAAAACCTACCACATTTAGGCAATGGATAAGAATAGTCTCTGCAAGATGAAATTACAGATTGAAACATAAGAAACAGATGAAATTGATGGCTTTGGGTTAATAAAAATTAGCAATTTCATACGGTTCAACATAATGCCAACCTTCCCACCCATTTTTTTCACCTACCCACGCATTGCCCTCTCTTTCTACCTTTCCTACCTTCTTTTCACAAACATTTATTAAGTGCTTATTCTGTACAGAGCACTATGCTGTGGATACAGTGGGAAGTGAGACATGAATGGTCCTTGCTTCCCTGGAGGTCCCACTTTACTGGGACAAGACCCACACTAAGCAGATGAAGAGGTGAATGCCCCAGGGTTACAAACTGAGAGAGGTGTTATAAAGATACTGTACGATTTCATGTGGAGCCCATAGCCTTGCTCACCCTATTCCTCAAAGCTCATTTCCCCTGGGCTGCCTTAATTCATAATCCTTGTGTCTGGAATGTCCTTTTCTATTCTCTCTGATTATTTATAACCTTTATGGCTGAGCTGGAATCCCAACTACTCTGTAAAACCTTCTCTGGTTAATTAATGCAACCAACAGGTATTTATTGAACAGGGACAATATGCCGAGCACTATGCTATGTGCTCGGGAAAACCTGTGGCCATATGAGGCAAGATCCTCGTGCCCTCCCTAAGCTGAACTGATGTTTTGTAGGGAGGCAGATGGTAAATATATAAACAGATAAATGAACAAGATTTCAGCAAGTGAGAAGCACTATGAAGACAGTAAAGCAGGGTGATGTGATGGATGGCCTAAACCTGGTCTCTCTTATCTCTAACTCATTCTGAACTTAATGACTGTACTATATAATTTGGTGTCTAATATATTGACAAAGCATTATCTTCTAATAACCCTATTCCTTGCTCACAAACCTTTACTGACTCTCCACTGTCTATAGAATAAACCCTAAACTCCTTAGACTTGTTTCTAAGGATATTCTCAATCACGTGACAGTCACGTCTCCCAGTAGACACACAGCATCCTCCACCTGCCCTGCTAAGCCAACCTATGAACGCCAGCCCTCACATGCCCTCTGGGCCTCCCTACATGCCCTTCTCTCCTGCTTAATGGCTCTTATCCAGCCAATGACTACCTGTAAATATTCAGAGCTATCTCACATTTGGGATCTTTTCAAGAGCCTTCATTGATTCCCTATTCTTTCCAAGCACTCAAAATTATTTTTTGAATAGCTACAAGGTACCAAACATTGTTTAAGGCACTGTGAATACCACAAAGAAGAAAATAAAGCAAAAATCCTTGCCCTCATAATGCTGGTATTCTAGTTGGGGGGCTGGAGACAGAGACAGGCAATTCCCTACCTGGAACTGAGAATCCCTATCTCCCACCTTAGGTTAGGCAGGACATTTGTATTAGACTGAAAAGATCCCAATTCAAGTGTTCTATTGTTTAGAATGATGTCAAGATGTCAGGCTATAAGCCATTAGATGTAAATTCGAGACTCATCACTGTTACCAACTAGTTGTCTGAACCCAGGGCAAGTCAACCAATGTGACCATCAGTTATCCCATCTGTAAAATGTGAATGTACGCGGTAAATCAAGTGATCTCTAAGATCCATTCATCTCTTTGGTCTTGCTTTTCAAAAGAGAAGAATCCAATAGTTAAAAGAGTTAATATACTACATCTAAGATGCCCATACAAACAAGTCACTTCCTTACAAAATGTAAGTTTGTCTTTTGACAGAGGAAGTGGCTAGAGACAGCAGAGGCTGAAAAGTTACCTTTTTAGGAAGGTTGGGCCCTGCAGTCAGACTAAGATGGGTTTAACTTCTTGCTTTTCTTACATGCTAGCTGTGAAATCCCAGGCAAGTATAGTCCCTTGTTTCTTCATTTATAAATTAGGGGAAATGATAGAAGTGGTTTTATAGAGTAGATGTGAAGATGAGGTGGCGTGATGCATGGGAAGGACTTGGCATGGTGTCTGGTATATGGCAAGAGCACAGAAAATGGCAGCACCGGTTACTGTCTACTACAGAACAACAAAGGACAAGTCATCAGTCTATTAAGAATACCTAATTTATCATTCAGTACTTTTTCCAACTGCCATCTCATCCAATCTTTTTCTCAGCTCTGTAGAACAGGGGCCATCATTGCTATTTTACAGATGAGAACACTTATGACCAAAGAGGGAAGTGACTCAAGAAGGTAGTACTAGGTGGTGCTAGAAATAGTAAAACTAGGCAAAGGCTTACATATATCACTTTCTGTGGGGCAGGCTCTGTTCTAAGTGCTTTACATGAATAGATTGTTTTAACTCTCACAGGAGCCCCCTGAAGAAAGCTATAATTATTATTATGCCCATTTCACAGATCAGGAATCTGAGACAAGAAAGATTAAAAACCTGGCTGTAGGTCACAGAGGTAGTAAAGACTAGAGCTGGGGTTTAACTCGCAGCCAGTCTGGCTTCAGGGTCTCTGTGCTTAACCATTACCCTATACTGCCTCGTTTAACTAGCATTCAAATCCCTTGAGTACAGCCCAGAGAATGCCCATCTCATGGAAACAATTTTTTCTGGTTTCTCTTTCCAAGAGGGAAGGCCAGAACCATACCTTGTGGAGTAGAACACATACTTAAAGCCTTAAACAATCCCTGATTTTCAAAATCTCCCCTGTTCTGTTGCTGAGGCCTCTGAGTAGTTGCTGAGCTGGTGGCGAGATTCCAGGTGGGGGTCCCAGGGTCTCGAAAGGCCATCAACAAGCTCTGTCCCTAAAGCTACCATCTATAGTTATATAGCACTGTTAAAGGATGATTGCCAAATCTACTTTCTTGCTAGTTCACCTGGATACACAAGTGTTAAGTTTGTCAAAAAGATAAGAGATCAACACAAAGGCCTGCTACTTGTGAAGTGGGTACATGCTCTCATTCTGAGAATAGGAAGAACCATGGCTTAGAGACCTCTGGCTAAAAACTGTTGAGGTTACAGTGCCCTTTCACAGAATGTACAATCAGTGGATTTCTCATACACATGAGTGTATTTAAGGAAACAGTAGAGAGGTGCTTGCTGCTTCCTTGCACTCTTAAAACAGGGCAGTGGGCCGGATGGATGAGATGCCAATGGCTAGACCACTGAGTAACAGAACTCAGAGCTGAACCCAGGAATCTGGCTCTATAGCCTGTGTTCCCCATGCGATAGTGCTTCACAAACTCTAAAATGCAATGCAATCTGCTTTTTCACCATAAAGGGAAACCCTGGAGGTAAGTTTTTGGTCAACTGATCTGAGAACCATTTGAACCCCTAGGTCCAGTCTCCCGTTGTTTGTGCTATTTTAGAAAAATTCAGAATTAAAATGTATAAATTACAGAAGGTGGGGAAGAAGTCACCTTCTCATCTAGTCAAGAGCTCTCTTTGTAACCCCAAGGGCAAAAGGCCATCTGGCTCCCTCTTGAACCCCTGCCCTCACCCATTCTGAGCCTTTGCTGCATGCACTACCTGGCCCAAGATGGCATTGAGGCGTTCTGATTCACAGTCCACAACCACTAGCCGCTCCTTTTTCTTTTCCAGGTCCTGAAAGAGCATCCGGTATCCCTCCTCTGTGGTGGTTAAAATGTTGACTGCTGTCACCTGCCAGTTCTTCTCGGCAGCTGTGTCCAGGACTTTTTGCAGGACGGACAGACCTTGAAATTGGGTAAGACAGAGAAGTGGCAATCAGGATACGCAGGTACCAACCCGCCTCCACTCGGCACCCACCTCCCTTGTCTCCCCCCACCGGCTCCTCTACCACGTTCAGCTCAGCTTTCTCCCACTGTGCAAGTCAGAGCTCACTGAAGGCAGACAGCAGGTCTCTTTTGGGCTTCTGTTTCTAGAACTTAGCCGGCAGTAGTGTTAGTGATTAAAAATATAACCAAAGGCTCAAATCCTGATGCTACAATATATTGGTTAAGTGACCCTGTAAAGACTACTTAGCTTCTTCAAACTTTAGTTTATTTAATGGTAAAATGGTGGTGTTAATAATGCCTACCTCATGGTATCATCATGAGGATTAAATAAGAATGTCTGATACATGGCAAGGGTTTTATAAATAGTATTGGGCATTTAGTAGCTGCTTATTAAATGTGCCAACCTGACATCTAAATAGGCACCTAATAATTCTCAAATTCATGGATGTTCAGTACCTGATACTTTGCCTCTTACATAGTAGGTATCCAATCAGTGTGTATTGAATCAAATTATTCTCTTCTAATTTATAGTTAAGTGATAGAGGAGCCCATTACTCAGTGGAGCTTTGTTTCATCTTTGAGACATAAATGGTGTCTCAGTTTCCTGCTGCTGCTGTAACAAATCACCACAAACTCATTGGTCTAAAATAACACATATTTATCATCTTATATTGCCACAGGTCAGTTTGAAATGAATCTCCTTGAGCTAAATCAATGTGTCAGTGGGGCTGTGTTGCTCTCTGGAGGTTCTAGAGGAGAAGATTTTCTTGCCTTTCCAACTTCTTGAGGCTGCTTGCATTCCTCGGTTTATGGCCCCTTCCAACTTTAAAACCAACAGTGACTGGTCAAGTCTTTCACACATCACCTTTTAAACACTGACTCTTCTGCCTCCAGCTTCCACATTTAAGAACCCCTGTGATTACACTGGGCCCAAGTAAAGAATCCAAGATGATCTGTTAAAGGTCAAGGGATTAGCAATGTACATTCCATCTGTAACCTTAATCCCTCTTGCCATTGAATATAACACACTTCCAGGTTCCAAAAATTCTGAGAACAGAGACATCTTTGGGGGAGAAGATGGAGGTCATTTTTCTGCCTACTTCAGATGGTTGTTTCACTCTTGCATTATTAATCAATCTTTTGTACCTATATCATTTGTTTCCTTGTGACCCTGCTAATCCCTCCCACAGTGACCAATAGGATGCCTGGTCTCAAGAATCATCTCTAGATTGATGCTGTTATGCCTTTTTTTCTTTTTTAAAAAAATTTATTTAAATTCAATTAGCCAACATATAGTACATCATCAGTTTTTGATGTAGTGTTTAATGATCAATTAGTCACGCATAACACCCAGTGCTCATCATATCATGTGCCCCTCTTAATGCCTGTCACCTGGTTACCCCATCCCCCCACCCACCTCCCTTTCCGCAACCCTCAGTTTGTTTCCCGGAGTCAAGAGTCTCTCATGGTTTGTCTCTCTGATTTCTTCTCATTCAGTTTTCCTTCCCTTCCCCTATGATCCTCTGTGCTATTACTTATATTCCACATATAAGTGAAACCATATGATAATTGTCTTTCTCTGATTGACTTATTTCACTTAGCATAATACCCTCCAGTTCCCTCCATGTCGATGTAAATGGTAGGTATTCATCTTTTCTGATGGCTGAGTAATATTCCATTGTATATATGAGCCTCATCTTTTTTAGCCATTCATCTGCTGAAGGGCATCTTGGCTCCTTCCAGTTTGATTATTGTGGACATTGCTGCTATGAACACTGGGGTGCAGGTGCTCCTTCTTTTCACTACGTCTGTATCTTTGAGGTAAATCCCCAGTAGTGCAATTGCTGGGTCGTAGGGTAGCTCTATTTTCAACTTTTTGAGGAACCTTCACACTGTTTTCCAGAGTAGCTGCACCGCTTGCATTCCCACCAACAGTGTAGGAGGGTTCCCCTTTCTCCATATCCTCACCAACATTTTTCTTCCCTGTCTTGTTAATTTTTGCCATTCTAACTGGTGTAAGGTGGTATGTCCTTGTGGTTTTGATTTGTATTTCCCTGATGCCAAGTGATGTGGAACATTTTTTCTCTGATGCCAAGTGATGTGGAACATTTTTTCATGTGTCTGTCTCCTTTGGAGAAGTATGCCTTCTTATCTTTGTTTCTTTTTCAATGCAAGCTATTTGGTGTCCTTACACCTCACATTGACTGAAAGTTTACTATGTGTCTGGCACTATTCTACTAGCTTTCTTGTTTTTAATTTATTTAATCCTATGAGGTACATATCATATGCAGATATGAAAATTGAGGCTCAGAGAGATTTAGTCATTGGCCCAAGGTCACATATAGACAGCAAATGGCAGAGATCTGAGCTCAGATTTCTGAGACAGACCGAGTCCTTTAAGAGCATGGGTGTTTCTGCCAACCACAGAAGTGATTCTCTATAATCAAAGTTACATTTTTCTGGGTTCTGGGAAGTAGGTTTGCCACTTTGAGGCCTCAAGCTTCAGTATGCTGTAAAGCTGTCCTGAAAAAGCACTTCTACGGGTATAATCCTCACAATGACTGCTGTTTGAGAAGGGAAATCCTCAAAATAAGGAGAGGGGAGGGAAAATTGAAGAAAGCAGAGGGTTTCTGGTCTCTTCTGCTGGCTCCTCCTCATTGAATAATGCCTGTTTAACACTACCCCCAAAAATTGATCTCACAAGCCTCCTACTCTAAAGTCTTCTAGGCCCTCCTGTAAAACTAGGCCTTCCTGCAAATAAAACCTCCCTTTCACTCAGGGCAAAACTCCTCTGCCTCAGTTTCCAGACCTTGCATAATCCATTTATTTATTTATACCAATAATGACTAAGTTCTGATGACTATTTAGTATTCAAGGGAAGGTAGGAGAGTCCAGTACAACCACCACAGGCATTAAAAAAAAGAGGATGGTTCCCATTTCAGGATTAGGGAATAGAGTGTTTGAGCAGGCTGCAAAAGAAAGGGAGGATTCACACATGTAGATTTGGGAAAGCAAGTGCATTCCAGAAAAGAGGAACAGCATGAGGAAAGATGCAGAGAAGAAAAAACCAAAGGAAACATTTGGAAAACGTGATGTAAAATTCAAAATGTAAGTGGTAGCACAATTAGAAGGGTAGGGAGAGGTGGTGATGATGATGGTGGTGATGATGATAGCTAACATGTATGGAGGACTCTGAGCACTTATGTCCCATGCACTGACAGGAACTTTCTAGTCATCTCATTCAATCCTCACAGCAACTTTAGGAGGCAGAAATTAGGTTTATCTTATTACAGAGATGAGGGAATGAAGGCATAGAAAATCTTAGCCTCAACATAAATGGTCAAACTGAGGCATACAAGAACTTGCCCAAAGACAAAGAGCTGGAGAGGATAAGACATAGAATTTAGATCCAGGTCTGTCTGACCCTAGAGTCTGTGCTCCTGACAACTACACCGTGAGCCGTGAGCCATTCAAAGGAGGCCCTTAGGCTTTGAGTCTGGAAGCTTGGGGAGCTATAGAGTGACATGGTGTGTTAAGGGGATTACTCTCTCAAAGGATGTGTTTCCATACTGTGAGTTGGAAATTAGCCACCGAGAAATCAGTCCATAGAAATAATGCATTTCTGGATCATTCCCCCCATGCTTTTCAATGAGGCAGGGAGGCATAATTCTCCTTCCTGCCGGCAATTTTCTCTCCGTCTCTCAACAGTCTCCCTCCCCTAACCCTTGGCTTACCCCGGTCGGCATCATAAATGTAGACAAATTTCTGCCACTTGTAATGGTCGATGATGCTGATAAGAGCATCCTGCAGCTCAGGGCGCAGCTGAAGGACAAACTGATTGGAGGTGTCAACGGGAAAGCTCGGTGTAATGAAGCAGACGTGGAGGGCCCCACAGAAGGAGGTCAGCATGTTGACAGTTCTCCGTTCATAAAACCCAAAGATGGCGTAGACTCCTTTGGAGAACTGGGAACAGACTGGAGGAGGAGAAGAGAAGGATTAATAGAAGATGCTGCAAGGAAGCTGGCAGATGGCTCCAAAACTAATCCATCCACTAGTTCATCCATCCCAACTCATCATCCTTCCATTCATCTATCATCTGGCAATCCACCTATCCAACCAATCTATCCATCCATCCTTCCAACTTACCAGTTTAATCCAGCTGTCCATCCATTTTACCTATCTGTGCATCCCACTCACCCATCCATCTGTCTGACCTAATGTTTAGGAGGCACCAATTCCATGCCAGATGTTATCATGCTTACCAATTACAAATATACACAAACTATTTTCATATGTTCTCTTACTTTATCTGTGCAATGACCTTCTTAATGTAGAAGAGGGATGAATGAGTCATTTATTTAAAGGGAGAAACTAAGGCTCAGAAAGTTACTGAACATGTCTAAGATGGCATAGCTAGGGCATATCTGAATTGGGTAGACATCTTAACCTCAATCCAGTCATCTTTCCATGACTGCCCATCACTTTAAGGCAAAGCATTAAAAGTTGTTATAGGAAGAAGGTCTGCCAGCTTGCTGCTGATACATGTTTAGAAAATAAGTGTTGATTTTCTAAGTCTACCCTTAGCTTTCAGTGTATATTTCTCTGCCAATGTTCACTTTGTGTTTGTACATCCTGCTAGCTGATTTTTCAGGTCCCCCAGTGTATCAGACATAGTAATAGTTTAGCTGTGTAAACATCCCCATGGGAGCCATTTTGTAAGATCCCAGTGCAGTTACCAATCCTGGTTTATGGTTTATTACATGCTGGTTAGAATATAATATTAAAAAGCCAAAGTCACAGGGCCAAACCCCAGGCCAAACCTCAGTAAAATTTATAAGATGCTCTGTATGGTATTTTTAGGTTTTCTTCTCCCTCTGCTGCAATGAAATATCCTGTGGGATATGAATCTTATCTTCTACATCTATTCCCTCATGTCAGTTAGCTACTAAACTCATTTTAGAATGAGGGTTCATTGTCTTTGCCCCAGTGAAGTAGGTGACCCACCCTAAAGCCATCTCCAATGTGTGAAATTACCCTGCTCATATGGACTGTGAGATGAATCATTCTCATCACAGCAACAGTATTTTCAGGTATTTTGCAGTCCTTTCACATATATTAGACTATTCAGTTCTCATTACAACCCTGTGACTTTGGTATTACCAGTTTTTTTTTTTTTTTTTTTAAGAAGAAAAAAGCTAGTACTCTTAGACCCTCTGTTCTCTTTAGCACATTACCTGCTTCCATGACACTACATTACCTTGTATGTGGGGGTCTCAAATTATCCTATATAAGCATCACCCAAATGTGTTCCCATGAAACATTAGTCCCACCAAATGCTCCTTAAAAAAGAAAAAACTTCTTTGGCCAAATAGATTTGGGAAATGGTGTATACCTTGTCTGCATCTTGGAGGTAACTTTTGCACACTAGTTACATAAAAGGTTGTGAGGAATCCTGTTCAACTTTAACCCAGATTTTGTCAAGTCCATACGTCCCCAGGATCCTTTGTTGGCAAATACTCTGTGAAGTAATACCCAGTGAAGATCCTCTGGGCTGTGCTGCACTGAAGAATGCAACTAACCACGGTACCCAGTTGTCTGAGTCTCAGTTCGCATTCAGTCCCTAGAGCTAATGGGCTTAAAAGTTCATCTCTTACAGATTGCAACCGAACTGTACAAGTCATCTGTCTGATTCCCACTGAAAACCAGAATACTGTCTATAGGAAACTGGGCTGGTGCATTAACATCTGCTTGCATACCTGCAGTTACTGGGCACTCACGACCTCTCTAGGTGCCCAGTTTACTGACCGATGACTCTTTGAGACCAGAACCTCATGGAATGGCTGCTCTTAATCCACTCCACAGCCCTCCTGGCATCTGAAGGTGGTTCTCATGGACTCTAGGCTTATGGCATATGGTTTTCAGCAGTGAAATCCCTTCTCTACCCAGAAGCAAGAGGAATCTTTTTAATTAACAAAAGCAAAAACAAAACAAGACAAACAAAACACAATTTCCCTTCCTTGTGCAAAAGCTCTCAAAAGTTTTGAGGTTTCTCATTGCAAACAGGAAGCCTCTGACCATAACTCAGAGCCCCTCAGACCCCTCCCACCTCACACCCCTCTCCTTGCTCTCTGCTCTGGCCACAGGCGCCTTGGTAGCTGTTCTCTGGGGCTCTGAGCTCACTCTGCCCTGAGACTCTGTGGCCGCTGCTCCCTTCCACTGCCTGCAGGCTCTTCCATTACCTTTTGTGAATATGACCCCTTTTTTCTTCCTTTACCTGTTTGTGAAGATCACTCCTTTTTTCTTCCCTTTTTTTTTTAAATTTAAATTCCATTAGCCAACACATAGTACATCGTTAGTTTCAGATGTGGATTTTGATAATTCATCAGTTGTGTATAACACCCAGTGCTCATTGCATCACTCCTTTTTGGCAGTTGTATCTCAGCTCAAATCTCACCCCCTCGAAGGGCCTTCCTTCATCACCTCTTTTCAGTAGTGACTCCCCTCACCTGCCTCCCCACACCTGCGTCTCTGTCACATCACCCTGTCTTATTTCCCAGACTTTCCTATTATCTGAAATCACTTCCTCTTTTTGCTTGTTTATATCTGCTTGGGTCAGTGTTAATCCCGGAAAACAGGGGTTCCACTTGTGCCCCAAAGCCAGCATAGTGCCTGGGACATGGTAGGGCAAATGAGTATTTACTGAATGAATGCATGATAAATGTTTGATAAGAGGGTCCACATGACTTAGGGTATGAGGGGGAGCTGGGCCCAAACAGAGATGACTACTGGGTCACCCTGGACCTCTGGCTCCTCTAAAGTAGCTATTTATCCTTTCCCACTCAGACTGTTTTCTCTTTCACCCTAATGAAGACAGTCTCTCTGTTCGCAGCAGACAATAGGCACTCTTTAAATATCTATTGTAATTGCCAGAATCAAGATTTCTATAAATATGGATTTCTCCACCAGGAAGCATACATTGTATACTATTCTATGTTAAATATAGATTTGTCAAAAAGCACAATCCATCTTACTGAGTGAGGTGTATAGATGGAGCACATAAACCCATTAAAACTAATGTTTTAATATGCTCTGTATGGTATTTTTAGGATTTCTTCTCCCTCTGCTGCGATGAAATATTATCCTGTGGGATATGAATCTTGTATTCTACATCTATTCCCTCATGTCATCCACTCAGTTTCACACCTTCAGCTGGGCCTCTGAGGCCCTCATGGCTGGTGTTTCTTGCTAGAATTTAGAAGCAAAGGAGGAAAGGAGGAGATAGAGGTGTAAGAAATAGGAGTTGGTGTACATGATCAAATCCTTAGACACACGAGAGGCCAGGAATTTCTCCCTCTCAAATGATCTCCCTATTTTCCCTTTTCAAATTTATCTTCCCTTAACTCTAAGGCTAGGAGGGTACACTTACCCACTGCTCCCTAAAAGAACATGGCTTGGAGGTAGCTTGGCCTGGATTTACGTGAGTGGACCTTGACCCCCAGAATTGCTTGGCATCTGACCTGCAAGCTAGCTCCTCATTTTGACCAAGCAGGAGCGGCCACAGAGAGAGAGAGAGACAGAGAGACAGAGAGATAGGCAGAGAGACATGCAGAGACAGAGAAAGAAAGAGAGAGAGATTGAAAGAGAGGCACTCTGTAGCCCAAGGCCTATGGAGAATGTAGTCATTGGTTAAATATTGAGAAATACATTTAGTAGTTGTAGGGCATTTCTTTGAATCTGTCACAGTAAATATTCAATCAGAACAGATAAGGTGGTCTTGTAAAAAAAAAAAAAAAAAGGACTACACTAGATGCCAAGAAGGCCCAGAGGATTCTTTTTGGTTTTATCATAACACAGCAGTTATGTGACCTTGAGCAAATCACACGTTTTCCCTGGGCTTCAGTTTTTCCATCTGTAAAATGATGGTTTGAACTCTGTAGTATGTAACATCGCTTTTTTTTTTTTTTTAAAGATTTTATTTATTTATTTGTCAGAGAGAGAGAGAGAGAAAGAGCACAAGCAGGAGGAGTGGCAGGCAGAGGGAGAAGCAGGCTCCCCGCTAAGCAGGGAGCCCGACGCGGGACTCGATCCCAGGATCCTGGGATCATGACCCGAGCCGAAGGCAGCTGCTCAACCAACTTCAGGCTCCAACATCCTAGATTCTACTCTAATTCACTCAAACATGTTTACCGATTGACAACACTATAGTTATTTGCTGGTCAAACTTGTAGCAACGCCCAGAAGCAGGTATAGGCTCTCAGTTCTTGGATCTGATTGTAGCAAACTCCTAGCACTAAACCTAGATGCATCGAGAATCTTGAGTTTTATGTAAGAAGCAATTCTAACCTGCCGTGTGAGTTGGTTACATCATAGGGAGTAGGTGAGAGGAGGCAAATCGGAAAGGGGGCTGGAGGTGGGGACTGCACGGTCATGTACAGAAAGCAGGAGGAAAAAGTGGGCACCAGAAGCAGAACTCTGCCGGGCACTGCTCTCTCTCAGACTCACTCTGTTGTTGAATCAGAGTAGGCTGGACTGTGTGTGGTACCCTCCACTCAAGACAGCAGTGGTGCATAAAATGTCTCCGACAGTAAAAATTAGGAGCTGACATTTGAGCACTTACAAGGACATTCCCTTACATTGACTCCCTTCCTCCTATGAGGCAGGTTACAAGGGGGAAAGTGAGGCACAGGGCTGGTACGAGGCCCAGCTGAGATCTGAGCTCCACCAGTCTGATCATAGGGCTTGAGCTCTTCACCTCTGTGATGTGCTTGCTGCCCCTTCCTCCCCAGAAAGTTTGGTAAAAAACAATCTTGGTACCTTGGGTCAGCTTCAGTTTCTAGAAAATCCTCTCATATCACACATGCCTTTGATAAAGGTGTGTTATTGGATGAGGGTCTATGGATATTAAAATAAAACAAAACTCGGTGATGTGCTCGATGCATCTCCCTGTCAACTCTCGGAACATATATACACATAA